ATCAGGTTTTTGTCACGACAACCAGGTGAACAGGAAGCCAATTGCTAACATGAAGAGCACTGGGGGGAAGCAGATTTGGAAGGAAAAACAAGAATTTAATTTTTCAAATGTTGAGTTTGAACTGGCTACTAGGCATCCAGTTGAAAATCTCAAGGAAGAAGTAGGATATGTAGGTCGGCAATTCAAGGGAAATCAAAGAACTGGAGGTATCAACCCCAAACCAGTTTGTAGGACTTGTGCTGCTGATGGCAAGGGGAAAAGTCGGTGGCTCACTCAGTACAATCGCTCACGACTGAACACGTCAGACTGATGGCAGAATAATTCAGAACGTGTGGGTGAATTTTCAATTGATTAGTTCCGAAGCTCCTCCTAGGTGCTGACCATATACCCCAGGCAATGTGATTGATGCACAAAGAAAAGTTTCAGATACTGCATGAAGCTTTCAGTTCTGGGCAGAGTGACAAGATAAATTAATAAAAAATAATTTAACAGGAAACAAGCCCTTGTTTTTTTCGGGGGGGGGGGTTGACATTACGTTTTGTTCTTCTATAATTTACCTTTCTGATCACGTCAGCAGCACTGTCCTTCTGGCCTTTGTCATTTGCATACTTCCTGATCATCGCCACCGATTCTCTCCCTCTGCTCCTGCTGCTCATTCTTACATATTGCTACTCGCTGAAAATCGAAGCACACCGTGTGATTTCTTCTTTGGAGATAAGGTAGGTCAAGTGTGTTGATGAAGAATGATATAGTGTAGCTAATTTTATTCCTGCTGCATAGTATATGTTTAAGTGAGCACATATTGGTTAAATGTTCACTATATGGTGAGCTCTATATTAAAAAATGGAGGTGATAGCTTAAGTAAAAATTGAGTCTCTATCCTCTAGAAATAAACATATAATCAGATATATTAAATCATGTTGCAGTCTGAGGGGGTGGGGAGGGGATAGGCTCTCAATAAATGTTTGCTGAATTAATAGTTAATTTAAAAATATATATATATATAGTCAGTCCTTTATAAGGACTGAGCCTCTTCCTTCAGTCTAGGGTGATATCCAGAGTGTACGGGAGGAGGGTTTTTTATAAGTGGGCAGATAATATCGAACACAGGATTAGGGAACAGCGTCATGATGAGCGTAGTCTAGAGAACAAAGGTAAAGCAGTCAGGCAGTCCAATTTTTTTTCTTGCATTCCTGATTTGGGCAATCCAGAAATAATCACATGAAAGCTTACTGATCCAAAGTCTCCAAATAAAACTTTTGTTTCTTTTGTACCTGCCCACAAGGCCCAAGTTATCTGTTTCCCAGCAAAAATGAATCTAAAATGGGATATAAGGAACAAAATGCAAGCATTTTTTATGGCTTTGAGCTATCCCTACAAATATACATCACTACATTCTCTGTATAAGAGAGGGAACTCAGAGCATGTTTATAAGCAAAAATTTAGAAGTCAAATATCAGGGGCCAGCAAGGATACGGAGGGAGGAAAAAACCTTTTACATCTAGAGAGTATAAACTGATGTAGCTTTCTACCTTAGTTTTAGTTATTTTCTGCCAGTCTGACTCTATTTTTCTTTTAAATGGAGTGTTTATTCCATTGACATTTATGTAACTAGGATATATTTGGTTTATATATTGTCATACCATTTGTTTTCAATTTGTCCTGTTTTTTCTGCTTTCTTTTGAATCAATCACTTTATTTTTATTGCATTTTTCTACTAACTTTAGTGATACATTTCATAATTCCATTAATGACTACCCAGGAAATTACCACATGCGTCCATGGTTTAGTAGAGTCTACAATAATTTTTTCTTTTTTTTTTTACTCCTTAGACAATGAGTAGTAGACCACCTTAACTCCGTTTCTCATTTCTTGCTTTTATGTTGTTGCTGTCATACATTTTAATCGCACGCTCTGTTGTTTTGATAGTGTTAAACAGTTATTTATACTTACCCACATTTCTACCATTTAACTTGGTCTTCATTTCATCCTGTATTTTTGTGTTTACTTCAAGAATCTCCTTGCTTCTCTCTGAAGAACTTTAGTATTTCCTTTAACACATGCCTTATAAGATGGAATTCTCTCATTTTTGTCTATATTTTGCCTTCAATTCTCAAGGAAATTTTCATTGGATAAAGGATTTTAGGATAGGTATTTTCTAATTATTGGATAGAATTTAATTTTAATAGAATTTTAGAATAGCTATTTTCTTTCAGACTTTCAAAGATGTCTTTCCATTATGTTGAGACTTCTATTATGTTGAGAAGTAATCTGCAAGTATTATTTGTTTTCCTTTCAAACTAATGTGTGTTTTCTCCTTTGGTTGTTTTTAAGGATTTTTTCATCTTTTTTTTTTTTCTGTGATGTACTTGGAACATTTTTCTTTGTGGTTTGTAATTACTCTCCAGGTCCATCCATGCTGTCTCAAAAGGTAAGAGATCCTTCTTTTTAACAGCTGCATAGTGTTCCATTGTGCAAATGAACCACAGTTTTTTAGTCCATTCGTCTACTGATGGGCACTTGGGCTGTCTCCAGATCTTAGCTATTGTAAATTGTGCTATGAACATAGAGGTACATATATTCTTTCTGATTGATGTTTCTGGCTTCTTAGGATATATTCCTAGAAGTGGGATCACTGAATCAAATGGCAGTTCAATTTTTAATTTTTTGAGGAAACTCCACACTGCTTTTCACACTGGATGCACCAGTCTGCATTCCCACCAGCAGTGTGCAAGGGTTCCCCTTTCTCCACACCCTCTCCAGCACATGTCATTTGTTGATTTGTTGATGGGAACCATTCTGACAGGTGTGAAGTGATACCTCATTGTTGTTTTATTTTGCATCTCTCCGATGATTAGTGACATTGAGCATTTTTTCATATGTTTCTTGGCCATGTGTATGTCCTCTTTGGAAAAGTGTCTAGTTAGGTCCTCTGCCCATTTTTTAATTGGACATTTCACCTGCTTTTGAAAGCAATATGGCAACATCTATTAAAATTAAAAATACATTCATTTACCCAGCAATCTCAGTCTAAAAAGCTACCTCAGAGAAACAGAGTCACCCCTATGTTAGAATACAGGTGCACAGATATATCCTGCTGCTATAGCCACGGTAGCAAAACCTGCAAAGATAATGGCTATCAATAGAGAAGATGCTGAAAACAAAATTAAAATGCATCTATACTTTTAAAAATTATGCATACATTTAAATGAATAAATAGAACTATTACTTATCTTAGATTTCAAAAAGATATGCTAAGTGAGAAAAGCAAACTGCATAAGATTGTATATGGTCTTATTTTTGTAAAACATATAAAAATGTGTACATTGTATTTATATGTTTACATAATTGTATTCACTCATGCACAGACATGGATGCACGGGGAGAAAACCTAGGCTGTTACCATGACCGACTTTAGGGCAGGGGAAAAGAAATCATATAAATGGAAAAAGGGGGAAGGTAGGGGAATCCAAACAAATGAAGTAAAAGAAAAAGTGCTGGAAAAAACCTACACTCAAGAATGAATGACATGACCAAATCGATTTATCTATATTAAACTACATATGAAGTATATGTATAATATACATCCTCAAAAAATTGCTACTCTCACTTGAGACACCTGAAATCTCTTTCATTAAAAAAAGTATTAAAAATTAAGAGAAGACAGTCATGGAAAGATGAGTAGAAATAAAGCTAAAAGAATTTAAACCATATAGGACTGAATGCCACTAGATGGCAGTAAAACCCTCCAAAAAATTATAAAAACATTTTTCTTAACTGCTAGAAAAATTTCCTCTTTTACCTCCAATCTTTACCTCATAAAAACTATTCAAATTAGATGTATAGTTCACAGCAATGACATTCTTTAAAAGACAGATTATTACCTTTATTAATAGAAGAGTTAATATTGATAATCCCTATTTCCCACTCATCTATAACATTATTTTTAAAGCTCACGACTTATGCCCTCTGAAAAGATAAAATTTCATGTTCAATCAACATGCATGTATTTCATATCAATTATGTGTAAAATAGAGGCGTATTGAAAGAATTATTATATTTATTGAGTTTTCAACCAAGTGGGAGAACAAAATGCAAATTAAATGGAAGTTTACAAATAAACCACTACAAACTAATGTGCAGGGGCACACCAGCTACCTAGAATCAGATACAGCCAAAAGCCTTAGTGTCCTAAAACCAAATAAATGAATAAATAAGCAAGCCACTAGGCAGCTAAGATGCATATCATAAACTTTTCACTGAAACTCATACTTTATTCACTATAAAGCCACTTTAACTAAACATCCAAAGGTCTAATGAGTCCTATAATGTGGTTTTTAAGTTACCCGGTTGTTCTAGTTATTACCTCAAAGCTTAGTGTATAAAATACAACTATTTTATTAGGTCCACGGATCTTACAGCTGAGGAATTTGGACATAAATGGCGCAATGAAGTCAGCTTATCTCTGCACAATGCCCAGGGCCTCAGCAAGGACAACTCAAGTGACGAGTCTAGAACAGCTTCCAGGAGTCCTTATGCATGGCTCCCGGGTGGCTTCGGTTTCTCACAGCCTGGGTGTGATGGCAATTTCCTGCACGATGGTCCAGGGCACCAGGGGCGAGTGTGTCAGGAAGTGAGGTGTGAGCTACATCACTGTTGGGGATCCAGCCGTGTGAAGTCACATGGCATCACTCCTACCCTATTCTTTGGTTAAAAGAGCCACAAGCCCACCAGATCCCTCAGACCTCTCTATGGGGAACAGCAACGTCACACTGGGTAAGTGGATGTGAGATGAGAAATGTTACTGTGACAATCTTCCGATAATACAAGGTAACATAGTCTGCCCTCTGGCCACAGCAATTCACATCATTCCCATGTGAAAACTATACTGCACCCTCCCCGAGATCTCCAAAGTCTCAGTCCATTATGGATCAGGACGGTTTCAGACCTCATCCTCCAAATCAGGTGCAGTGTAGATTAGGCTCCCGTGCAGTGGGCTCTCAAGTAGAGTTCCTCTTGATCTGCAGACCTATGGAACAGAGCGGCATGTTAGCCCACACACATCCTGCGTATGCTTGGGGACGAGCACAGAGAAACTTTATAGGCACGCTCATTCAAAAAACAGAAGAACCAGGAGGCATATAGTAATCACTTAGAAATCTATTTAGCCTGATTCCTCAGATCAACAGACACATTTTCAATTTTCCACATCATGACAGTAGCAATCTTGCTAACGTTCCTTACTATATTTAACAAAGGTCTCCATTCTCCTTTCCTCCAGCTTCCAACACTTTCCCCAGCTTCCTCAAAGCCCTCACTGATAGCCTCTTTCAGGCCTGTCAGGTTTCCTCTCTTGCAGTTTCTGCCTGCTACTGGGTCCAAAAGTATAGCAGCCTCTCCCTTCCGGTACCAAAATCTGTTTTAGTTATCGTTGCTATATAATAACTTATTCCAAAACATGGTAATAAAATGATATTATGATGTTCACTGATTCTGTGAGGCAGAAATTCAGACAGGAAGCAGCAGGGTTGGCTTGTCTCTGCTCCACATCTAGGCCTTGTCTAGGGATACGCTAATAGTCATAGGCTGAAACTCTCTAAAAAGCACCTGAACATGGCCTCCCCATGTGGCGTGGGTATCCTCGCAGCATGGCAACCTCGGGGTAACTGGCATTCTTACATGGCAACTCAGCATCAAGCACAAGTATTCCAGTGAACAACTTAGAGGTGCACAGCCTTATATGAAACAGCCTTGGAAGCCACACAGCATCACACAGTTTATAATTTTATTTTGGAAAATAAAATCCTCTACACCAGCTTATCAAGGAAACTGATGTAGAAGACCAAAGTGCTACTGTCGACATACATAGTGACAGGAGGAAGACCTCCTGTGTTCCTCTTAGCTGAAATGGGTCTGCCCTTCAACTTAATCTTATAGGTAGGATCCAAGTGATCCATTAACAATTTCACTACCTGCCAGAACAAATTAAAAATATTAAGAGAAAGATAACATACCCTAAAGCTACTACAATATAAATCCACATTGTCTACCATGTAATAAAAAATATATATTAGGGAAAGAAGCAGGAAAAAGTGAGAGACAACCAAGGAAATAATTAGTTGAAGCAAACGTTTATTCATGATGAAAACTCTCACTAAACTTAGACAGAAAGGAACTTCATCCATGTGATTAAGGGTTGAAACACCTAAGCAATCATACTTAATGGTGAAAGACAGACTGCCTTTCTCCTAAAACAGATAGCAAGGCCTAGATGGCGGCTCTCACCACCTCTTTTCAACACTGTAGTGGAGGTGCTAAGTACTGCCATCTGGTGCAAAGAAAAGGCACCCAAATTGGAAAGGGAGGAGTAAAATTTTACTTATTGGCATGTGATATCATCCTGTATTCAGAAAATCCTGAAGAACACACATGCTCACACACACACACACACATTAGAAGTAACAAACAAGCACAGCAAGGTCAGAGGACACAAGATCACAAATCAACTGTATTCCTATAAATGAACAATTAGAAAATGAAATAATAAACACCTTTCATAATAGCATCAAAAGAAAAAATATTTAAAATAAATATATAAAAGCTGTTCAAGGCTCATGCACTAAAGATCACAAGCATTGCTGAGGGAAATTAAAGGTCAACAAGTAGAGAAAGATTCCCGTCAATGGCTTGAAAGAGCCAATATTGTTATGACAGCAACTCTACCCAAATTAATCTTGATTCAACCAACTGCTATAAAAATTCAAGCTGGTTTTTTTGTGGACATTTACAAGATGACCCTCAAACTCATATGGATATAAAAGGGATCCAGGAGAGCCAAACAGTTTTGGAAAAAAACAGATATGAGGGCTTACACTTTCTGTTTTCGAAAGTACTCCAAAGCTATAGCAATCAAGAAAATGTGTACTGGAACAATGGAACGAAATTAAGAGCCCACAAATTAATCCTTACATTTTTGGTCAATTGATTTCGACAGAGAATCCACAACAACTCACCAAAGAATGGTCTTTGTTAGTAAATGGTGCTGTGAAAACTGAAAATATACCAGCCTTCAAAAGGAAGAAACTTCTAACACATCCTACAACATGCTGAACCTGAAGGACATGGTGCCACATGAAATAAGCCAGTCACAAAAGGACAAACACTATGTGATTCCACTCATGTGAGGTACCCTTCATAAAAATAAAAAGGTGGACGGTAGTTGCAGGGCCGTGGGGAGGGTCCAGTGGGGAGTTAGTGTTTAATGGGCTCAGTTTCAGTTCTGCAAGATGAAGAGAGTTTGAAGATGGATGGTGGTGACAGTGGCACAATGTGGACGTACTTCCTACACTGAACTCCACACTGAACAAGGGTTATGACGGTAAACTTCATGTGAATTTTGCCACAATTTTTCAAAACTGAAAAAGGGCAAATAATCAAAGTAAAAACTGAAACTGGGAGCATCATTACTGACACTACAGAAATTAAAAGTGTTATAAGACATATGATGACTTTATGCCAACAATTAGACAATTTGGGTGAGATGGACAAATACCTAGAATGACACAACCCAAACTGAACTGACGCAGAAGAAAAAGAAAAACTGAACACATCTATAACAAGTAAAAACAAGAAATTAAGTAGTAATTAACAGTCTTCTCACAAACAAAACCCCATGCCCAGACCGCCTTATAGGTGAATTCAGAGATTAACTTGCAATGCAAAAAATATACATAACGTTTCCTAGCCTTGAATAAACTTTACCTTCAGGATACCAAAATTAAACTCACAAGTATTCATAAACAACACTATTTCTAGAAATTGTTTCCTAACTTCAAAAAATGATAATACCAACATATTCAATGTACATGAACAAATAACAATAAAACTGATTATCCCTAGCTAGCTAGCCTAAGAAATTTCTAAGTTTTTCCAAAAACTCTTCAAATCACCAACTCTCCAGTTCCTCCAAACTATTTGGTTTACACTGACTCTTAAGTACACTTATATAATTTTATGGTTCTATCTTTACACTAAAACAATACTCACAATTTGCTCAATGTTTACTTACAAAATAAATTCCAATGCACAGGTAAATACACTGACAAATATCTACCCTTCAAATAGATAGTAGTGTTCTTGAATGTCACAAATATGCACAACCACCAAAAATACCTTGTATAAAACCAAATTAAAATATACATGAAACTATAAAACAAAATGAATGAAAGAGGGAAGGATGAAATTAAGTCTGACTTCTCTACCCTTTTACAAGTGTTAGTCCTAGAAGACCTACATTTTCTAGGGAATATATTTATGTAGCATTAACTCTCTATATACTACCCATGATTGCAATTACGACTCTACAAAGTAACAGATGAAACAAAGGCGAGAAACACCTGAAAAATATCGGACGGTAATGGTAAAATGGTATTATCTAATGACTGTGAAACCACATGCAAAGAACACTGTATCAGATACAATGTTTACCCTTGAACAACTTGGGGTTAGGTCCATTGACTATCCCCTATAACTTTTGACTCCCCAAAAACTTAACTACAGCCCATCTGTGTCCAGGGGGATTGGTTCCAGGAACCCCGTGAATACCAAAATCCATGGATGCTCAAGTGCCTTATATAAAATGGTGTAAAGCAAAACATATCGGACCTCTGCATCCGCAGATCCCCAACCTTGGACTGATGATACTGCTTTCTATCTCCAGTTGGTTGAATCTGTGGATGTGAAACCCAGGGATCCAGAAGGCCAACTGTATATTTATTGGGGGGAAATCCACACATACGTGGACCCATGCAGTTCAAACCACTGTTGTTCAAGGGTCAACTGTACTTTAGGGGTGAGCCACAGATCCTACGAAATATTTTTCAAATCACATCACAATTTTTGGTCACGTATAATTTCTGTAACATTCTAATCATTGTCTCCTGGGGAAATAATATGAACAATCTAGATTCCTTGACTATACTTTAATATTAAAAGAAGTCCTATGCTTACCACTTTTATTATGTATCTGGAGCATCTAAAACAAAAGAGTAATTACTGGGTGTCCTATGTATCATTTGACGCCAAACTAATGCATAAATGATCTGAGCTTTCATCTCCCTCTACTGAAAAACAAGCAAAAATTAATGCATATGCTCTACTATAATCTCCAAAGTACTACACACTTTATTAAGAATTACTCAAGACTTTATTTTGAAAATTCCTACTATAATCAGAATTTCTTTTTACTTAACAATTCCTAAAAAGTCACAATAGAACAAAATATGGCATAAACAAATTATACATATACTATGACATATATATAATTACACATACAGTATAACAAATGAAAACATCTTTTCTTAAATAATTAGTAATATATATCCACTTTGGAAAAATACATGTAGCCTATTCCAGTCTTTATTTAAAACTGTAATTGTCTCTTATTCATAAATCCTACCTTCAAAAAACAGATTTAACCATTAATCTAACCATGACAATGTGTGTGTACATGTGTAATAACACTGTCCTAAATATTTGTTTCTTGCAGAGCAGTATCAGAAATTCAAGTTACTTTTCACAAAATATTTCCAAAACAAATGCAGTAGCTTTCTTATGATAATTATTGACATTTCTAACAGTTAGTGAGCATTTACCATGTACCAGGTACTAGTACAATGCTTTACATGTTTTTACTTATTTAAATCCTCAAAACCAATAAATGGAGTAGTTATTATGATGATCTACATTTTACAGATGAAGAAACTGAGGCACAAATAGGTTAAAAAGCTTTTATACCATGTCAGATTCAATGCAACTGATTCATCAATCTGTGTCCCTCACTACTTGTCAGACTTTATTCTGACAGTTTGCTTGTCTGTCAGGCACCCTCTGGATGTCCATATATTACCTCAAATTTAAAATGTCAGCTAAGCACTCCTTCCTAAACATGGCTGCTATTTCAGATTTCTTTCAAAGTTGACTTCCAGTGAAATAAGCAACTGCAGGAAGGTAGCACTTATCAACATCAAGCACTGCCCCATTACCAAAGAACAGCTAGACAGTTTCATGCTTTTTAAAAAACTTTATCTTTATTGTTGAAAGTATTACAGATGTCCCCTTTCCCCCCCATTATGCTCTTTTTAAAAGGCTGTTACATTCTCTAGTTCCCATAATGATCTATTCAAGCATAAACAAGTAACCAACCAACCAACAACAACAAAACCTACAAAACATCCTGAAAAGAGACTAGTAACTTTTGGAGAAAACACTCTACAAATAAAAACAATTACCTTGAAAAATTAAATACTGATAATTCATAATAGGCTGGAACTATGGGAAAGTTAAAAAAATTTTCTAAATGTAAGGGCAGCACCTTCTATAATTAAAGCAATACCTGGGGGAGATAAAATAAATGCATTATAATTCTAGGCCATTTCCAGCACAATGACATTTTTACTCTTATATTTACTCTGAATTAAGTTTAGCACAGAATTACTGTGGCTCTGTATAGTATGAACTCCATGTAGAGGAGGGACAGAATCTAAGCATTTTCACACATAGTCCAGGATTATTTTCTCTCTCAAAATAATTCAGGAAGTTTTCCAGAAAACTCAACCTTGGCTGTGTATCAGAATCACCTGGGGAGTTTAAAATCCATAGCCTGACCAATTAAAATAGAATCTAAAAGTGAAACCCAGGCATCAGAATTTTTTAAAGTTTCCTTTCTTAATTCCGATGCAAAGCTAGGTTGAAAAGCACTGTTGTTACAGCCCCTTTTCAAAATATTTTAATAGGCAAGAGAGTTTCAAGTATTGATGTCTGCAACCAAGAACTACTGAAAACCGTGCTGCCCGAGACTCGCAGCCCCACAGGCAGGGACAGCCACGAACAGCAGCGGTCTCCACTGCCCTGGGATGAGTAACAGCAGCAGTCGAAGGCCGAGTAGTATTCACGGCAACTGAACCAGTTTTTTGTTGCTGTTTCTGACTTTGTTTTGTTTTAGTCTAGTCTTAGTCCACAAAACCCTGTTTCTTATATTTGTCTCATCAAAGTTATGACTTTTCCTTAAATGGGACTTCAAAAATAGTTTTTCAGAAGTATAACTTAGTATTTGATTCTCTGCTTTAGCGACAGCTACTTCCACTTTAATTTACGTATTGATTCACTCTGTTAGGAATGAGGAGGGGGGAAGGAGCCAAAAGTAGGCTCTTGAAAGAAGTTTATGGGAAAAGCATAAAGAAGGTAAAAATACACACAGGGAAAAGAAGCGCTAAAATGTATGGACCAATGACCAAGGGCTTACAGAAAACTCTTCCTCAGATAATTTACCTACTTTTCAGACAGCAATATAAATAATGGGTAAAAGCAGACTGGAGTTGGAGATTTCTGAGTTACTCAGTAAGCTTTATGTCTACGGGTGATTTATTTAATTTCCCTGAGACTCATCCATAAAATAGTGAGGAGCTGTCCTAACGTAACACTGGTCTCCTCTCTCTGCTCCCTTACACACCAGGACCAGGGTAATCTGGTCCATTTAGAAGAAAAGTGGTTTATGTTAGATTAGCCTTTCTCTGACTTCCCTTTGTTTTTGGAGATCATTACTGCAAGCTGTAAGTTTTGGGTAGGCCCCCATTTGAAGACGCTCTCCTATGTGCCCACGTGGGTAAGTATAAATTAAAGATTCGGCAATGATGAACCCATTTGCCCATGTTTGTATGTCACATTTATCAATACTGCTTTTGGCATTTTTTAATAAATGTGATATTTTGCTCGTCAACTGGCTTTCTCTCATCTCTTTCTGAAGTGGTTTACAGCCCGGCCAGCATGGTTCAGCGGTTGAGCGTCCATCTAGGATCCAGGCGATCGGGGTTCGATTCCCAGTCAGGGTACATGCCCGGGTTGTGGGCTCGATCAATGACTCTCTCATCATTGATGTTTCTATCTCTCTCTCTCCCTCTCCTTTCCTCTCTCTGAAATCAATAAAGATATATTAAAAAAAAAAAGAAAAAGAATTTAAAGTGGTTTACAATTCAGGAAAAGAACTGGGGTACCAGTTATTAGACTCCATTTAAACCTTAGTGCCAGCTCACTTTATAGAGCTGTGTTAAGCTTTAAATGAGATAATACATATAAAACTCCTAGCACAGTACCTGGAACATAGTAAGCACTCTACGTAACTGCTAATAAAATAATAAAAGACTCAAAAATAGAAAGGAAAAAAGGGTATTTTTAAAGCACTTACTGGTTCTTTATAAGATATCTAAATGTGAATTCAAATGTAATATTCTTTCTGAAATACATCAATAAAAACATGAAACCTCCACTCACTGAAAAAAATGTGACCTGTTATTAGTTGTAATATGGCATTTAACGAACCATTAGGCATGGAACATTCTTTATAGCCCATAAAATCCTCAGGAACTATTCCATACAGAAAATAAAATATAAAGTACACAGCAGAATCAGACAATGCTATAGCACATAAAATAGTAAATTTTAACATTTTTAGAATCACTTTGATGTCTAAAAGTTTTAAGAAAAAATATGCTAGTCAGTTTATTCTATAAATGTAACTACATTATCAATATGCTAATAGCACACTAAAAAAAAACTAAAGATGTATTTCATCAGATAAAAAATATGTAACAGAAAACTTATTCTTCAAAATGAGCTCAGGAAGCTCAATCACAGCAGCAAGATTTACTAATTTGAGACTTATGGACCACCAGGAGTCTTGTGAACCCCTGAAATCATTTGTAAAATGTACATGCATGTAACATGTACGTGCCTATGTGGTTAAAACCCCCTCTACTTTGACTCCATTCTCAAAGGTTACCATTTGGAAAAGGTAGACAGTGAAGCATCACCTTATCGTGCAAGGGATAGCTCCCAGGTTGTTCATTTATTCAGGTTTTCTAGTACATTCTCTTGCATTGTATTTTTAATTTGGGTAATTTTAATACATAACAAACTTTTAAAGAATCAAAAACAGAATCTACTTTTCAAAAATGGCTACTTACCTTTTAAGTGTTCTGTTGTTTTTCCATTAACATGCAGCACTGATACTGCTGTTCTCAAGTCCATTTTTTCATTTTCCTGCTTGTCTTCCATTGGTAGCCTTTTTATCACGTTTTCAATGCAACTGGTGTTACTCTTCAGAGCAGCAGGTAGTCCCCAGAGTGAAGCTGCTGCACGCTTATCAGATGCGACAGTACTTTTGGGGTTATGTTCTCCACCATCACCCTTACTCCTCAGTGTTAAACTTCTAGAATATAATCTTTTACTAATATGGCTTTTGCTTAAGGGGTTCTTACAGACATCTTTTCTCTTTATAGTTTTCTGCTTTTTTAGCTTCCATTTCTCAGTGCATGTACGATTTACATTTTCTTTATTGTAACACTTGTGATCTACCGTTGGGCAAACAGGCTTCCCCCGTAACTTACACTGGATCGTGGCGGATCCAGGGGTAGTAACTGCACCAAGATGACCGGAATCATCAGAATGCACTGCAAGGCCACATGCAACCAAGATATCTGCCAGGTTGCTTTTCTCACAAGTGACATCTACTTTCAGTTTTGTTTCAAAACTATATTCTCTAAGCTGAAAAACTAAACCTGGTTTACTGAGGAAATCTAGAAAAAAGCCTTTGGCTTCTTCATTCCAATGTTTCCCGTTAGCAGGTAGGATACCATACAAGACACAAGGGTAACTCAGCCTTGGCAAATTCAGAAGTTCCTCAGGAACAACTCTAAGGTTTCTTACATCTGAATAAGGTATGTGTATGGAAAATCCATAGTCAATCAACACAATAAGTAAAGACTGATCAGAGGCTTGGGAAATTTCTACTCTATTCCATTGATCTTCCAATTCACATCTGAACAAACAACTAGAACCAGGAATTACGTGCTCTTGAGACAATGCTTGCAAGGTGTCTGGTAGATCAGAAAGCAATATAAAGACAGATTTCATTGTGTCAAAGAAATCATCTAACTGAATGAAGAAGTCGGATGGGTCGGAAACAGCAGTGGCAATCCCGGAATATCGCCCTCCGTTCTGGAGTCGCGCCCAAGTAAACGATCTGACTGTACATGACAGCACGGGAGCCTTAGATGCCACACTGAAAATAATTTCTGAAGACCTAAGTTTGTTTTCTTCAACATGAACTGTATTTAAATTTAAATATTCCAAAAGTAACAGACCATCTATCAAAATGTCTACTTCCCAGGCAGAGTCTAAATATTTCAGGAAAAGGATGTCTATTTCCAAATGAGCAAATAAATGCACAATGGACTCAAACGACACATTTCTAAAATTTTCAAACCAAATCCACTTACAAGGCACAGCTTGTCTTGGAATATTTCTGATTTCATTACTAAGCACCCTGATATTACTTAAAGGCACTATGTCATACCTACCACAATCTACTAAAAAAACAAGCACTTTTTCATCAACACACTTTTTTTCTACTTTTGATCGATACCACTTCAAAGTATTTTTAGATTTTGCCAAGCATTCTAAGCCTTTTTCAATATTTTCCATTGATGAAAAAGTTTGTTTTCCTTCTTTAGTAATTAACACTGATAAATCTGATACCTTTTTTTTATTTTTAGATAACTTCACATAAAATGCCCCACTTTTTGAAACATAAAGTATTTCAGCCTTTTCAAGCTGTCCAGGTTTTAGCTGTTCAAAAGGAATGTTAGCCAGCTGTTCGCAGGATGAGTGGAGGCCCGGAGAACCTTCACGCTCAGTCACTTCTCCTCTCCTCCCGTCCCCGTTGTCACCAGGGCTCACCTTCTGAGAAACAACGTGAGGCCTTTGCAATACTGTTTTCTGTAGTTTTGGACATGCTGTCCATTTCAGTAGTTCATTAATGACACACTTTTCATCACAGATTATGTTCACTTCCCATTTCTGCTCATGCTTTCTCAAAAACTCACAAGAAACTGTTTTGTTACTTACTCGTGAAGCAAAATAATCTACAGTTTTACTGTCCCATATTTCACCAGGCTCATTCCACTTGACTCCACTGAGAAAAGAGTGGAGTCCCAGCTGCGGAATAGTTAAGAATTCTCTCTTAAGTTCATAAATTTTAGATAAGTTTACTACTTCAGTGTTACCATAGTCAATAAATTCCACTTCAAAAAAATTTCCCGGCAAGATGTTCTTAATAACTGCTCTGTAAATGGCATTTTCAGTGGCGTATTCTGCAATTACGAGATCTCCCACCATGGGTTTGACTGGCTTTCTCTCACTCATGATAGCTGCTCTTCTTTCATTCAGAGCAGCTGCAAGTCTGATGATTACATTCTCACTCTCCTCAAGATGGATATGGAAACTTGCTGGGTTGCTGATGTTAGAAACATATCCTTTAACTCTGGCATTCAAGTAAATTTTGGGTTCAGGAAGGTCTGTGATCTGTGGTCTTGTGAGACTATATGGGTTTTGTGAGGCTACCTGATGTAATTCTCTGATAAAAGGCTGTGACACAATCCTTACTGATTTCTTGCCCACATCACTTTCATCAAGAGTACATGCAGATCCGGGGACAACTTTTACACCTTTATTTTTAAGTCCATCACTTGAAGACTTATTTACCTTGTTTTTGGACACAGGTTCAATATTATAACAAACTGATGGTTTCAAAAGCTGCGCATACATACTTTTGGAATTCATTAATTGATGTATTTTGCTTTCGGAATATGTCACTAGACTAGTTTTATTTATCATATCATGGTGATAGTTTTCTATTTTGCCTTTCAAAGAAACAGCAAGTCTCTTATTCTCATTTATTTTATGACCCTTTTCCACGCAGTATGCTGGGTCACAATCTTTTTTTCCATAAGCATGAAGCAACATTTTAATTTTCTGATTTATATGTTGATATCCATCATACAATTCTACGCCAAGCTGGCCATCTGACTCCCTGGACAATATTACTGCCCTTAGTGGTTTTCCCAAGAAACTATCTTCAAACCATCTATTGATTTCTGCTGGAATATCTACATCTCTAAGATCTGACAAAAAGCACTTAATAGCTTGCATAGGTATAAACAGCAACTCTGGAAACTGATCTGAAATAGCCCTCAACATACTTTCTTCTACTAATTGCTTATTTCCAAAGTCCACAAAATAGACCAGAAAGTCGGATAATGAATCTGACTTTGGCATTGCTAAAGCTCTATAAGAGAAACCATCCTCTATATACTTACATATGCACAATCTCTTTTTGCTAGAATATTTTGGACAATCTTTGAGGTTATTAATCTCTGTGATTTTTGTTTCTATTATCTCCAGGTCTTTATTATTTCTACTAAGTTGGCAATAAAACTTTTTGGGACTATATATATGAGATATATATATTTCTTCCTCACTTCCAATTTTTATATTAAAGGAAGAATAATAGTAGCTGTAAAGACTAGCTGAAGATGGGAATGGCTTTGATAATGTACTATACTGTGCAGAGCCATGATTAATAAGAAATTCTTTTGCACTAGTAAATGGATATTGTAAATCCACCAAGTTACATAAATGGTTTGGATGTATAAGAACTAGGGCACAGATGACACAAGTCAATAACCCTCTGGACGATGAAATAAAATTCCCAAAGTCTCTGCATGCTTCTCTTGTCCAACTTAATACTTTACAACTAATGGGTTCAACTAAATGGTTAAGTCTACATCTGAAGGCTTGGCCTTCTAAAAAAAGAAAATATGGGTTAATCGCACAAAGATCCTTAATTAAAACTCTTTCCTGGTAACCATAATCAACAAAAACTACATCAACTTCTTTATTTGACACTGGAGTCAAAATAGTAGCTCTATACCACTTCCGATCTTTGGAATACTTAGCAACACAAGCTACCTGCCCAACCTGATAAGGATCAGAGTGAATGCTGTAATAATTCTGAATTTGTTCCATTAGTAATTTTAGGTCTTCTAGCTTACACTGGAGCTGGCATGAAAAGTCACCTGGGCCATAACAATAAGAACACTTAACTTCAAGGACTGTTCCTGGTTTAAACATGTATTCTTTATAAGGCCATGGTGACTCAGGTCCCACAGACAAGTGATTTTTTAAATTAGAGAAATTAATAGCTGGGGACTTTAACAAATTACTTTCTTTAAGCTTATTTGAATGATACTTTTTAGGTTTACGTCCTTCAGGAAGGGCAGATAAGATCTTCTTAATATTAACTTTGTTTTTTGATTTTAAATTTAGCACTGAATATTGACTTAAAGATTTTGGATAACATTCTGGCTCTACTTCCCAATATTCTGCATATCCAGCTTGTACCATAAGAGACACAACATCAGTATTTTCAGAAGCTTCAATACTCTGAATATTTACAGTGTACTTGTCATCTTTTTTTGCTATAACTTGAAGCAAAATTGCTTTGTTCAAGACAATTTTTTTAAAATAATCAGTTGCTGCCTTCACCCAAATATCTTCCACAGGAAATATATGTGCAAGTGAGCAGCACATGGCTAAGGCAGGCAATTCACAAAACTCTGGAAGCAAAGTTCTTACATCAAAAAATGGTATGGAATCAGTATTTCCATAATCCAAAAAATAAACATTAATCTTATAACCATTAATTTCATTGATGACAGCTCTGTAAAAACGTCTGTCCTTGCTATATCTCGCACAACAAAATAATCCAGGTTCTGGGTTTCTTAGAATTAATTCATCATTTTCACACAAATCATAAAATTTGTTTATATTTTTCATTATATCTTGAAATTCATTCTGATGTTTATTGGTGCGTACCCAGAAATTTGATGGGTTTAATACATATGCTACAAAAGCTATGTAGGCAGCTTCTATCTCCATTTCTACAGTTTTAATCGGAAAACCTACTTTCAAAGTACCTTTATTATTTAGAGAGTTTATCAACTGTTCAGTATTTCCAATAAAACTCTCAACTGCAAAGCTGTTTACATCAAAAGCACTAGTCTCTCTCAACATATTAGAGATTTTTAAATCAGACACTGGACAAAGTACTTGTGTGCCTACAGTCTTCAGCAGACACTTAGAATTAGTTGAAGACTCTTGAGTTTGTAATGTTACATAATACAAATGCTCTTCCTTATTGAGCCAATCAATGTGTGCATACACTATCTGTCCTAACAAGGCTTGTTTAAATACACTGAGTTGAAATTTTCTTGCATCGATATTTGGGCTGTGTAAATATGTTAGCGAACACGGAAATGAAAACAACGGTACTGAAATAAAATCCTGTTTAAGTTTCTTTACATGAATTGAGGGTATAGCCTCACTACTGCCATAATCCATAAACCAAATTTTCACTTGATTATTGGGCAAGAGCTGCTGAAGAATTCCTCTATGCCACTGTCCATTTCTCCTTTTCGCAACACAGAGTAGTCCAAAATTATCACATGTAGGACTACTTTCTTGACTGATAATATCATAATGCAAATTCATGCACACTGTCAAGTCTTCTAACTCTGGAATCCATTTAATTAATTGACAATAAAATTTACTTGGACTCAGTGCTGATGATACCTTTACACTTTCAATACTACCTATTGACAAAGATGGCTGCAAACTATCCAGAACGTGTCGGATATCAAGTAAAGTATCATTATTATTTAATGATAATTCAGGTGTCATATGTTGTAATAAATCGGGAATTTGTTGTGGGAATTCTTTTAACATTTCCACAATAAGACGAAATGAGTCCCCATCAATAAGTCTTCCTAATTTTAATTCAAGAACCTGGGATATAATTTTTGGCACCTCAAAAAGGATCATTTGAAGAGGCAAAAGAGCTTGTATGACACAACCTTTCACTTGCAGTCCTACTAATGACTTGAAATAATTCAAAGCCTTAGGAGGCCATTTTTCTCCAACTGGTAGTATGTTTGCAAAAATACCAACCACCACCCTGGGTGGTAGTTCAAAGACGTTGCTGCAGGCTGAAGCAACCTGCACACTGCTGACGCTCAGCTCCTCCCCGCGGTCTATGAGGAGCACGGTATAGAGTTCATTTTTCCTTTCCAAAACTCTTCCTCTCTGCCATTCTCCAGATACTCTTTCTTCTACCAAACAAAAGTCATCAATGTCCACATTATTTTTTACTTTTGGAATATGCTGTATTTCCCTCTGCAATATGTGGTAGTCAAACTCACATTCAATATTACTTCTGCCTTGAAATTTCACCAGAATGTCCTTGGGGCAAATTTCTATATGTAATATCGTCAGATCCATATCTAAAACTGTTGGTAATAGAGATGTAGTATCCATTTTCTAAAAAGCAAATAATAAGTACTAATTAACTTCTGGACAGTTATAAAACTTAAATGAAATTAGCTTTATATAAATTTGGTATATAAGCATAAACCTTAACAATAATTATATGCTTGTACTTATCAAATTGAATGTGTTAATAAAAATTCTATACTCTGGGCAAAATGACAGAGAGATGACTGTTCACTGTCTTCCACATTTTAAAAAAATTCTATTGAAATAATGAGAATATAAAAATAGGAAGAATATATTAATAGGTAGATACAGATATATATACATATATACACACACACACAGATAAAATCACTGTAAAACAAAGAACAATCTTTATTTTCCAGAAACTAACAACTCTACGACATACTGGGCAGATGTGGTATAAGTAGAAGGAAGCCAGATAAAGCCCATAGGAGACCTCCCTTCCTCCTGGGAGAAAGCTGCTGTCCCTCACGCAGACTTCTCCAAGGACCCGTAACTCAAGGAAGGGAGTGCTAGAAGCAAGGGCAGATGGAAAACCAACAGGGGACACTGTTTGCACTCCCCACTCTGTGTCAATTACTAATATTTGGACCCTACTGGCATCATTATGCAACTCCAGGATTCTTCTTTGATCAAGGGTGACAGGCTGAGTCCTGGATAGCACTAAGAAAGCCCAGGCTTGGAAAGATCCAGGTTAGGTACACCCAGGCCTTGTCGCTGGCATGGCTGGCGCAGAAGTGTGCATAAAGGAGAGGGGGTTCAGAAGAATTTTTTAGCACAGAGGCAAAGCTTCCTGTGACTCTGATAATTTTCTCTAGATTGTTAGAATTTTAAAAATTCCTTAAGACCAACATCTGTTATGACAGGATACAGCTGAACTCCTATTTGAGTCTGAGTTAACAGCTGACAGTTATCAATTTCTTTTTTTAAGGGTGAGGAAGAGAAAAACACTGAACCTAAAAAAAAATGAGAGAACCACTTAAAAGAAACCAAATAAATGCTCCCCTCAGGAATAAACGTACTGAAGGAAACAGCAAAGAACTGTTTTTCAAAAGTCCGAATCCTGCTTTCTGAAAGGTCAGAATAATGCATTTTTAAATGACTTAGTACTTACTAAGATGCCACAACTAAGATTAGGAAGAACTATGTACACATAAGAAATTTAAAACTGCACCAGAAAAGTTAACACAAAATAAATAGGGTAGAAGAAAATTTTGAGAGAATACCCCAAAATTCAGGGGAAAGGAATAAGATGATGAAAGAGGAGCATGGAGGACAGGAATATAAAATCTTATCAAAGCATAATGTTATCTCAGATAAAATAACAGAACAGGAGACCTTTCTAAGCCCTAAGACCCAAGTCCACAAACTGGAGTAGGCAGCTGGAAAGCTACAGAAAGAGGTAAGATTTAGGAACATCTGGGTGCTGTGGTTTTTATTTCATGCTAAATAACTAATTTGGTGTGGCAATCAGTCTGGTCTAATATAGAGAGATTCCAGGCTATGCTTACTTAATCCTGGTCTCTTAAGAATAAAATGGGCAGCATATTAAAGATTTTCATTAGAATAAACCAAACACTTCAGAACAAGAAAGGCCTTCTCAAGCCACTATTATTTAAAGTCACAGGCGTTTACCCAATTTCCAGACTCTAGCCAGTTTACAGACCTAAAATTCCTTACATGAATGAAGACCAGATACTTTTTTTTAACTCACTGGGGTGATGCTGGTTAATAAAATTATATAGGTTTCAGGGGTACAATTCTATATACATCATCTATGTATTGCACTGTGTTCATCGCCTCAAGCCAAGTCTCCTCCCATCAATACTTATCCCCCTTTTACCCTCACCTACCTCAGCATGTTTCCTTCTAGGTGAAGCATTCTCTGACCACTCTATTTAAAACTGCAACCTTTCCCTAATTTAGTAGACTCTAGGCACCTCCTTAACCTTTTTTTCTCTAGCACCAAAAAAGAGTTCTATTAAACTACTGTTTCTCAAATATTTGGTCTCGGGACTCTCTTACACTCCTAAATATTGAGGATCCTATTACAGACTGAGTTTTTGTGCTCCGCCCCCAAAATTCATGTTCAAACCCTACCTCCCAAGGTGATAGTATCAGAAAGTGGGGCCTTTGGGAGGTAATTAGGAGTAAACGAGGTCGTGAGAGGGGAACCTTCGTCTGTGTGATTAGTGCCCTTATAAGAGCCACAAGAGTGCTTGCTTCTGTCTGTTCACTGCCACCTGAGGCTACAAGGAGCACAGAGGCATCTATATGCTAGGAAGCAAGTTCTCACCAGACACTAGATCTGTGATCACCTTGGACTTCCCAGACAGCAGAACTGTGAGAAATCAATCTCGGTTGTTTATAAACTATCCAGTTCAAGGGACTTTGTCATAGCAGCCTGAGCTAAGGCAGACTTAAAAAAGTGTTTATGCAGCTTCTAATCTGTCAACATTTACCATATTTGAAATAAAAACAAACTTTTAAAATATTTATTAATTTTAAAATAACAATAAGCCCATTAAAGGTTAAATCTTTTCATGAAACATAATTATATTTTTCAAAACTAAAATATTTAGCGAAAAGAATGATATGGTTTTACAATTTTTGCGTATCTCAATGTCTGTGCAGAAAATAGCTGGATTCTCATAGCTCCTTCAATGTGTTGCAAAATGTTGTTTTAGGTAAAGTACGTGAATGAAATATGGCCACACACAGATACATAGAGAAGGAAGGAGTGTTTTAATAGCTTTTTCATATAACCAAGGATATTCTTTTTTTAATTCACAAAAATTCAATGAGTGGTAATTTCTTATAATTTATTTAAAAATAGAGTATTAAACCATATAAATGAACTTTTGGTACTCTGTTACCTTAAAATCCCTTGGTCTACCTTGAATTTTTAATGGAATTTGTAAAATGAATGATTTTAAAGATACTACATTGATTTGTTTGAAAATATTGATTCAGAGTTATGCAACCAACATCTCAGTATCACCACCAACCTTATCAGAGAGCTCAGATACTGAGAAGCCTTCAAGCTTGTAGTTACAGGCACAAGTTTCCCAACTTTCTAATTTTGCCTTTAAAGCTTAAATTTTACCATTGATAGTGTCAGCTGTTTCCCTTAAGGTGTCAAACTTGCTTTTCTCATTTTCGAAAAAATACCTGCAACACACCCAAATCTGAATAACCATAGCTTGTTATTGAAGTAAAAATGGAACCACTGTATGGTTCCATTTTTACTTCAATAACAGGCTATACAAGGGAAATTACTCAGCAATAAAAAGGAACAGGGTATTGATATACACACCACAACACAGACGAATCACAAAATAATTATTCTGGGTGAAAGCAAGCTGAGAGAAAATGCGCACTGAATTCCACTGATAATGGAAAAAATAAAATGGAGTAAGTATTGCTAAGAGAGTCACTTAAAGTAAGAATCAGGAGGGACCCTGGCTGGTGGCACAGTTGGTTGGAGCATCATCTCACACACCGAAGGGTTGCAGGTTGGATACCAGGTCAGGGCATGTACCTAGGTTGCATGGTTCTGGCCCAAACGGGAGGCAACCGATGAACGCTTCTCCCCCGCACATCGCTGTTTCTCTCTCCCTACCTCTCTCTAAAAAGTCAATAAAAACATACCCTCAGGCGAGGACTTAAAAAATTTAAAGTGTCAGGAGGCTATTAAGGAAGTGGGGCCTATACACACCTGGTGCCTCAGTTCTCAGAGCTGCTATTAAACTGCTTAACCTGTTGCTAAACTCGTCAGGGCGGAGGCATAAACATCCCGGAGCAACTGCTCCCCGGACACACAGATGGCACCTCCCTCCCTTGCAGACTGGCGCCAGCCAATCCCTGACCCAGGCGGCGAGCCTGCACCTGCACGGGAGGGTTACGCCGTCTGGGGGGTGCCTCTAGAAGCCCCAGCCTTCCTTTGCCTCCTCCGGAGTGCGGCTGGAGTTGGTACTCAGTCTTATCTCCTGGGTTGCAACTCGTTTTGCCCAAATAAATGCCTTTGTTATTTATTACAGCTCGAACCTCGTCTTTGGTTAGCACCATTTATACAGAATCCTGAAGCAGGTCAGTGCTGTGGGGCGGGGGACAGACCACACGGGTAAGAGTATCCTGATCAGAGTGCCTTGGTGGTGTGTGTGTCAAAGTTACCCAATCCTGCACTTAATGTAGACTGCTTTTCAGTTACAGTCTAACACACACAACCTAAGTGTTTATTAACGGTGGAGTATTAGAATAAATCAGAGCTTACTCTTATTACTAATAAAAAGCCATCGGTCAAATCCAGCGGCGCTAAAGGCCAGGCGCTAGGCCCCGTTATGCCGCGGGGGAGGGG